TGATTAATATTTAGCAGCTGGAGTATAGGTATTTTCAGCATAGAATATAATCATACATAGACTATAGTAGGCCAAGGCAGCAACCAAGGTTCAGTTCAGTTGACTTTCACATTTAGTTGCAATGCCTTGGTGGGGGGAAAATAGTGTTCATATAAAAATACAGAAGATGTATAAGGGCCAAGAGATACTTTATGAGGGAAAAATGAAGTTCCCTTGACTTCACTGGGACCTAAGTTCAGCCACCTTAGTTCAGATCCAAGCCTACGTTAATTAGATTCCAAATGGTTAATGCCTGTAGAAAGATGCAGGTGGAGAATCAGATTAATTACAAATATCTATGCAATTTAAATTATAACCACCAGACAATAAGGCATAGGTGAGACGTCCCGGGTAATCCCTTAGACAACTACTTGGACACTGATTTTGATTCCGTTAATCACATTTTTTTTTCTTCCCAGACCCAAAACAAGGAACGTTAGTGGGCAAAAATATTATAGGAAAAGGGAAAATAAGACAATACATCTTTTGTTGTTTCTCCAATGATGTTTTTTTTTAATTTAAAAAGCACACACATGTATTATATTTATTTAATGTTCAACTATTTACACAAATAGAGTAATATAGCCATGAGTTTTCCAAGCTGTTCAGTACTTGCTTGCTTTCTGACACCCATATAATTTCAGAAAGTTTTCTTTTTCTTTCATTTTCTTCTTCATAACTAGGCTTGAAGCTTACATTTTCAAGTTTCCATCAGTGGCTGTCAACTCTTTGTAATAAGCTTAAGAGCTTGGACACCTGATATCCCTGGGTGCTGTAGGGCACCCTCTTAGAAGCTGTTTTCTTTATATTGAGAGGAAATTAGCTTTTAGAACCATAAATTAATTAAATTATGCAAAATGTTCCAGCTTCAGTATATTTCCCCTCTCCTCTCCTTACAAAGAAAAAAAAACACACAAAGCGACAACATAAAAGTTTCACGCACACTCATGCAGTATTTTAATAATACTAGCCTGACAAAGCTGTATTATTTCATTGGTGCAGAGCAAGAGGCTGCTTTCCTTGTAATCATGTGTACAAGATGACAGAAAATGACTAATTGTGTATTGGAACTGGGTGGAGTCTAGACACATATAAAAAAACGTTGTGGAAATGTTTTTTTAAAAAACGTTTTGAAAAATATATTGAAGTTGCCATAGCTCACCATTGCCATCTAGTGTCACATTTGTATAATGCACTTTACAACACATTTAACACATTTTATTTGCAGCTGCATAGCTGAATCCCTGTTGTACATAATAACATTGGCTATAATACAGCATAGAACTAAGCATGCTTAAGCCCTCATTCATTCATTCATTCATTCATTTTGAATGTACTTAACTCTACATAGGATTGTGGTCCATTATATCCACTTTGGTGCAGTTTGAAATGCCATTAGGAAGGTAACTTGGAATGGAAGTTTGTTAGCCGCCATCTCAACTCTGAATGTTTTCCAAGAGTAAACTATGGAGATGGTTAGATAATCTGATAATTTTGAAAGATCAATTAATTAATTAATTAATGGTGAGGTTTGAATAACCTTTTCTAAGAACCTGTGTGGTGGGGGAAGCTATCCTGTTTATGGACAAAACAAAATTGCAAACATTTTGCACAGAAGCAAGTTTCATTCTTTGAGATTAAACACTGTGTGGTGGTTGTGGTGGGGAAGGACAACAGAATGGTTGTCGCCTGTACATTAGCCCACCATCAACTATTTATTCTTGTTTAAGTACAATTCCTTGTCACCTAGTGCTGCCAAGTGACTGCTTCAATACTAAGCTAAGTTTAAATGAGTAACGGATTTGAATGGTTTGTTTCATTTCTCTGTGATCCATTTGGTTCTTTGGTTTGATATGAGTTCATGTGATTAAAAATTTAAATACATTTTGAATTCCCCTCACCCCACTACTGATGACTCCAGAGCTAAATGTCTTCTTCTATAAAACAAGCATTGCCAACCCTCCCTGTAAGTCCTTCATTGGCACACCTAGGCAGGGGGCACAGACCGTGAGCTTTCATCAAATAAAAAAAGTAAGTGTCTAGCCCTCCTAGAAAGAAAGTTGTGAAGTAAACTGTGCAGTTACCCTTCTAAATGATTTCTGTGAAAAAAAGGTGTCACCCTGGCTGCTGCCACTTGCTGGTGTTTTGGGCCAATGAGTAAAATCAGAGCTGTGATGGACAAGTGAGTTGTTTGATTACCAGGGAACAGGAATCTCTGAGATCTTGAAGAGCTGCTGTTTCCCCTCTTAACAGTTTTCCAACTCTTCTCGAATTTTCTAGTTCTTGGAATATCCATAGTTTTCCTTTCCCCCTAGAAACCAGGATGCATCTTTTCTGTTGGGTTCATCTGAGGTCAGGTAGTCAATAGAAGTTATTTTCTGCAATTACAATTATTTCGCATGCTTTTAAAGAGCCCCTCTTCCCCTCAAAAGCAAATGTGAAAATTTTGCAGAGGCATAGGCATGTCTCCTGCTGTGAAGGAGCTAAAAGCCAAACATTCATTAAGAATTCACTGGATACATGTCTGCTGAGAGATAGGTCTCTTTGTGCTTAATAGGAATTATTCCCAGGTAATTCCTATTAAATTAGGGCGGCGCTGTGGGTTTAACCACAGAGCCCTAGGACTTGCTGATCAGAAGGTCGGCGGTTCAAATCCCCACGACGGGGTGAGCTCCCGTTGCTCGGTCCCTGCTCCTGCCAACCTAGCAGTTCGAAAGCACGTCAAAGTGCAAGTAGATAAGTAGGTACTGCTCTGGCGGGAAGGTAAACTGCGTTTCCATGCGCTGCTCTGGTTCACCAGAAGCAGCTTAGTCACGCTGGCCACATGACCTGGAAGCTGTATGCTGGCTCCCTTGGCCAGGAAAGCGAGATGAGCGCCACAACCCCAGAGTCATCCGCAACTGGACCTAATGGTCAGGGGTCCCTTTAAGTGGGTACAAGATGGCAGCCTAGGCTTTGATTTTATGGCCGACACTGGCGATGGCAGTAGTGGGGTTCTTGTGCCCTTAGCAGATGTATGGCAGAGAAAAATTAAACAGGTCAAACCTTTTCTAGTATGGCAATACAATTATGGAAAATGCTTCACCATTACAGTGCACCCTCTGGTCCAGGACATTTGCTGTCCCCTTATAAGCTGAACGTGTGCATGTCAATCACACAGATCTAGAATCCTGTCTCCAGACTTAGGTGCTATTGCTGATCATCTTCACAAGGTTTGGTGTTCTTTCACCAGCGAATACATAATATTAAGCTGATTGTAGTTTGGGTTGGGAGTTTATTTTAACTTTTATTTCACTATGATTCGTGCACTGGAAATTTTTATATGAAAACTTTCTGAATATGGTTAAGGCAAATGGCAAGTTGAAATAAAGTTGATGATGATGACAAGTAGTGGCAAATTCTAAATATAAGCATGATAACACAGACTGAAGAGGGCAAAGGAAACATGGTGCTTATGTGCTCCCTAATTTAGGTCACTAACCAAGGAAAAACAACTATGAATATTTAGACTATAAACTTGGTCTAAGATCCTAACAATTTAATGCAATAGCTCTCAGGAAAAAACAAACAAACCTTGAATGTATTACAAAACATAAAGATAGATCTCCTATTATGCTGATTCTACGTATGTGATTGCAGCTTTACACGGGTTGCAGAAAATAAAATAAAATGAATAAATTGGGGAAAAGTTCTTGCACAACCTTCCGGGAGCCTGGAAAGCAAGACAGGGTGCTCTTTCTGTGGCAGGAAAATACATTGTGGAATGAGATTTTAAAGCACACACCCCTCACCTTGCTCTCTGGGAAGGTCACACAAGGGCACTAAGCAACCTTCCTAGACCCTGGAAGGCTGGGGGGGGGCATAAAAGCTATTGACCTTCTGGGCGTGGCAAGGCCCACTCAGCACCAACTTCAGACAGGTAGAGATGGTCACCTGGGGCCATTCCAGGGGTAATTCTGGCTTGCACTATTTTGCCTATACACACAGTAGCTAGGAATGTAACCCCCACGTAAGATGAGATCTACCTGTATTTAAAAGCATTTACAGTAGTTCTCTTAATAGTGTATACCGCTCCACAATGAACATAATTTTCTTTAACTAAACATACAATTAACAGTACCACATTTCATTTGATTTATCTCTCTAGTGCTGCAGTCCTGTGTACGCGTAGTTAAGGTTAACTCTCACTTAAGTCAGCAGAATGGTCTTCTTAGTAAAGATGCACAAGATTGTCGTGCAAGTTAAATTAAAACAGAACTAAATATTTTTTTCAGTTTATTGAATATCAGAGCAGCAATATTTCTTGCATGGTAAGGCTCCCATAATTAGAAGGCTTGAAGCAATTATTGTAGCACTTTCTATAGCAGACTGTAATGTATGTAGGGCTGAGTTTATCACACACAAATACACATATGCTGCCACTCAAGGCACTCATTTAAATGCATTTTATTTTAAAAGTGTGGCATAAACCCATCACCATCTTCTGAATTCCTTGCTGTCTACAAATTCTTTTCTAGTTGTATTTATTAGGAGTTAAAAGGGGTGAGGGGTAAGAGTTGGTAAGATTTTCATTAAAAATAACAGATTGTTCCACCTTGTGTAACTTTTCATAGATTACTTGGAGGTTAGTTGATTGGCATCCATCTTGGGAGACAATGGAAGAGTGTCCATTCAGGGTGATCTCAAACCATTGGAGAGTTACAGCACCTTAAGAGATTTATATAACTTTTTATAGGATATACAATAACATTAACAACAACAAGAAAACCTCCAGTAAGTTAAATTGAATTAGACTAGGATATATGTTCAAAATTAAATATTTCCAATTCTCCACCCATGGATCTTCCAAAACTGATTTGACAATTGCAAAAGGAAATAACCCGATCTCCTTGGTTGCAAATTCAGAAGCTTCAATTTTGGAATTATCCTGCATCCCAATAATTTATATTCATTCCCCACAGGAAGCACTGATGGTTCTTGGGATAGAGAGAAACTTCAGTCCCCCCCAACCCAAGGATTGCAGGCCTCTGTTAACCACCCCAGCATGCCTGGACAGCATAACATTCCAGTTAATCATCCTCTTAACCCTCTCCAAAAGAACCACCTTCTGCCAAATGGTATGGCTTAACATCTTTCCATGTTCATATTCAGACTTTATCAAATTCCTATATTTTACATTAAGGCGTATACTTAAAAATCAGCACCAACCCTCTCCCAGCAAACAAAAATTGTGATTTCATACAACGTAATAAGAAAGACAATGTTTCTTATGGGATCAGACTTTCGGAAATAACGAGTAACAAAAGGGGCAAATACTTTATCTGACACATTTCAGCGAGGGTTCGACTTGGTTACATAATAAGCAACAAACAACATCCTTCCTGCATGATGAGAGCTGTCACTGATGGCTTGGATGTACATTATAGTCAGTTGGGTATTGCACTTTACCTCAACATATCTGTGATCTACCTGAGAGCTGATTTAGGCACGCAGATAAATCATGTGGCACAGAGTTGCTGGGACCATAACATTTATGACTGCAGTTTGAGGAATCCACATGTCAGTATTTCCTCACATTCAATATAATTTATTGATTTGGAACTTTTTGTCCTGCTTTCCTCACTGTGTTTCCAAGGACTCCAAATCATGATGCAGACACTATTCCTTCCATAAATTAAGAGTCAGTTTTCTCCAGTCTGCTTCTGGTGCATTCATGTGTTTCTTCTTTTAGTGATTCTGCAGCCAACTTCATCTGCTGCTCAGTGCGTTCAGAGTTGTACACACACGCACACAATTTACCTACTGGGCTCTGGAGGTTCTGCTGGTGGGCATCAGGGCAGCTTCTGAAGCTATGGAAGTCGCCCACTCACCAGCTATTGGGTCCTGGCAATTCTCTCCAACCACTTGGTCAGCCAGCATACCCTTAACGAATCTAGGAAAATTAAATTATGGGAACTGGATGGTATTTGGATTTGGACACGTGTAAAGTACTGAACAGATCACATTCCTGCTATTTATTGAGCAGTCATAATAATAGTAATTTAAAACATGTTTCCTTGTTAGAAGAACATTCAATAAACAAGAATTGAATGAAAATTCGTTGCTTGATGAATAGTTAATTTGCCTTTGCTTCATGTTAAAAATGTTTGTGATACCCAGCACTTAAAAATCATAAATGTGTTTATTTTGCTTTATTTTGTTCCCCTTAGGCCTGGAGCTCCCTTTTATGATGATGCCCCACCCGCTCATTCCTGTCAGCCTGCCACCAGCATCTGTGACAATGGCAATGAGCCAGATGAACCACCTTAGCACGATTGCAAACATGGCCGCCGCAGCACAAGTGCAGAGTCCTCCCTCAAGAGTTGAAACGTCTGTTATTAAGGTGACAGAGGTTTGGTTGTTGTTGTTTTAAAAAAGTACTGAGAGTGGCAATGATATCTTTGTTGACTGTTTTCCATTCTTAGACCTACGTTTCCTCAATCATAAAATAAGATTCTCTGACTGGGACAAATCATACTAGTTGGAGACATTCATCTAGTTCACATACAAAACACAATGCAGCCAATGTTAATTTAATTGTACCCTCCTATGTTTCCAGAGGGGAGCCTTTTTTCAGGGACAGCACCACTTCCTGGTTGGAAGGCAGTGTCAACCTGGTTTTATTACGTTGAGGAGCTCTGTACCACCCCAGGCTGGCCCTACCTTCCCTCAACCGGAATGGGCTTTGGACTGCTATATTTAGTGGGCTTTTTATTCTTTATTTTATTTTATTTTATTATTCATTTGTAGCCTTTTGTAAAACTTTCTTCCTGTCCTTCTCCATGAGGCAAAGATGGTATGAAAGCAGTTGGCCAAGGCCATTCAGGCTCTTTAGCTTGGTTTCCTTTGCCTCCTCTCTACCACTACCCAGATTGGACAGTCTCATTTTGTCTCCTCTTCAGCTGGGATCTTAGGGAAGGAAGGTATTTAGAGCAGCTTTAAAGGCAGCAGTGGGGAAGACTGCATTTAATGGGGTTACAGTAGTTACGCCATAAGGGGAACTGTGATCACAGCAACATTCTTGGGAAGGGCTTCTTCAGACGTGACCTGAAAGTTACGCCCTTACTAGATGCTACCAATTCTTGTCCTGGGGAGTACGCAGAGGTACACATACCCCTAAACATTTTGTGAATCTTTGTACTTTTGTCCATTTACTGTATTTATTTTTCCCAATTTGAACTATAAAATGGTGATTTTCTTGAGTCAAAATGAGAGTACCTGTTATGTTTACTAGGGATTGCTCGTGCGCAAGCAGGGTAAACCTCTCCCTGGCTGGCTGCTAATGTAAACTTTATCTGTCCGGAGAGCCACTTGCCCGTGGCCGCCTCAATAGCTGGCAGAATCCGTGAGTGGGCGTTTCTTAAACTTCTTCCAGCAAAGAAGCTCTTTGACGCCTAGTCTCCGCCTACCCTCTCTGCGCGAAAGCCTTCTGCGCAGGGAGGGCATGGGCAACGGAGGGCCCCTACTCTCCCCGCTGGTCCCAGTCAAGGAGTCATGGGACCACCTCGCCACTTCCCCCAGCTGCTCCCCTTCTCCACTGGTGCTACGCTGATTCTCTTCCCCAGAAGATGGGCTGCTCCTCCCGATCCCTGGACGCTCTCTGGAATCCCTCTGGCTTTTGCGCTCTCCCTCCAATACTGATGGCAGTTCCCTGACAGTACCCCAAACACTTTTTTTAGAAAAGAAGCACTGCTGTGACTTATATAAATTCATTAATGGAATTCATAGATCGCTGTTCCCAGTGGATAGGGGTATTATATTAATTGCAGCTCACCCAGTTAAACTAAAAATAATTCCTGTTTTTCTCTGTTCACCCTGAGCCTGTTCTCAAAGTTAATTTGGATTTGAAATATCCAAATTTACCCCGAACATGAAAGCATGTAGGGGAACTCTAGAACTGAAGAATAGCTAGAGAGAATGCATGTATTGTATCCACAAGGCAGTCAAAATTTGGATTTGTTTGAAGGTACAGAATGTAATGGAATTGGTTTTGGCCAATGTTTTGCACCAAACGGTGACATCAGCAGCAGGTGGGAAGCAGATGCGTGATCCTCAGTACGGCAGTTTAAAGCAATTATTCTGCTCTTGTCCTGAACTTAAAACGGAAGACGTGAAAACTGAAATTGTCCAAAGCATCTCTCTCTCTCTTTCTGTCAGATGCTAGATTATGAGATTCGTAAAATGACAAGTCCCTAATTTGTCTCAGTAGGGAAGTTGATATGGAGAGCCCTGCCAGCTTAGATCCGTTCTTGACCTTTCCCCACAATTCACCAAGTTCTCCTGAGCCTGTGTTGTTATCTTAAACTTGCAAAGCTTCAGATGCCATTCCACTCTTAAGCAGTGCTTCATTTCCCAGAGATAAGAAGCTGGTATATTTTTAACTCTTTCAAAATAATGAAATGAATGTTGCAATAAAATCCCTCGATTTAGAATAAAATAGGAAGAGCAATAAGGTGTCTGTGTGAATGGGATACAAGTGGTTGTTATTACATGCCACCTGATGTCTGTGTCCCTTCTGAAATGAGATGTGCATTAGATACCCTTTTTGTAATTGAATGTTGTGATCTGTGAGTTGGAAGAATAAGATCTCAGGAACGAGCAGGGACAACAGACTGTGACAACAGTAAATCGCAGTGAGTGTGACAGCTGTGACCTGAGAATGCTTTAGGCAGGAGATGCCTTTCATCACCTGCCCATGGCTTCAGAAAGCCAAGCTTGTTAGCAGCCTCAGCTTTCCTCAAACAGAAATGTGTGCAAACTCTATAAAGCCACATTAAAATAAACGTTATACTTCAGGGCTGATGGCAGTGTTTGTGGTTACGTCAAGAAGACAGCCCTAAAGCAATATTGAAATCTACTCTACATCCATGAAATATACATTGACATATTAAATTGTAATAGAACAGATAAAGAATGCCTAGCACAGTGCTACATTGTTTATTTGACTGGCTTGTGCATTTTTGAAATATAGTAAATTTGGGGGTGGGACAGAGTGCTGTTTCCATAGGCATATTCAATGAGAATACATTGCCTTTACACAGCAGAAAATTTATCCCAATTAGTTGCCTCAAACAATGGGATGTGTGTTTGTTTCTGTAATATACATAATATACAAGTTCCTCCTGTGCCTGACATTGTTTTATTTTGGAAGGATTGCTTCACACATTATGTTTAGCATATGTTTTCTTAAAAATGGAATGCATGCATCAGACATAGGTGTGTAATTGTTAATACACTAGGTATACAAATGGGGCAGTCAGAATTAACCACAGGATTTTGCTTAGGCACTTGCGATGGCAAGGGCTCCTTGCTATGTAATACGTGAAGTGCCACTTAAGGTAGCATTCTGGGTTTGTTGGCATCTGTCTGTCTTGAGAGACAATGGAGTATGCCTCCGGGGGTGAAGTCAAACCACTGGAGAATCACAGTGCCTGTTGTGGCTGCACAGACTGGTAATGCAGTGTTTCCCAAACTTTTTTGGGCAACGGCACACCTGTTTACTGAAAAAAAATCTCACGGCACACCACCATTAAAGCCCCGCCCCGTGACGTCAGCGCGCAGCGTCACGCCGGGAGGGTGTAACTTTCAATTTTTTTCCCTCCCCCTTGCCGGGGAACCTCCAAGTGGGGTGTGAAGCGAGCGTACCTCAAGACCGAAACGCCTAATTCCTAGGGGGAAAGCATAACTGGGCGTTAACCGATCGCAAACCCTGTCCTAGCCCATTAACATAGGAAATTAACATATAATCCGTTCCTTCCCCCTCTCGTCTGCCGAGTTGGTCCCTGCCCCTCTCGCGAGACTCGCCGCCGGGTCCGCTCTCGCGCACATAGCCCGGCGAGAGGGCGCCTTCCCTGTGCGCGCGCGCCTGCGCGCTCTGTACCCCCTCCCTCCCCCTTTTCGGCCCAGCGCGCCGCCTTGCCTGTTCGTGCGCCGCGCGTGTGAGGCGAGCGGGAAGGCCGCGTAGCCCCCCATGCAGGAGACCCAGGAGAGCCCGCGGCCGCCGAGACCCCCGCCGCTCTGCCCGCCCAGGACGAGGGGCCCGGAGAAGGAGGAGGAGAGCCCGGCGGCGGTAGCGGAGGAGAAAGAGGCGGCGGCGGCAGCAGCAGCGGCGACTCGGAGGCCGAGCTGCCGGACGGGCCTTCCGCGGAGGAGCCTGAGGGGAAGAAGGAGCCGGAGCCCGAAAAAGGCGGCGGCGAGGAGAAGGAGGAGGCGGAGGAGAAGCCGCGAAGCAGCAGCGGCGAGGAAGAGGAGGCCGCTGGTGAGCGTCGGGAGCAGCCGCAACCGTCTTCGCCTCCGGCCGCTGGGCCGCCTTCGCCGCCTCAGGAGCCGCCCGAGGTTGCCGCTGTAGCCGCCGCGGCACACCAGGCAACATCTCGCGGCACACTACTGTGCCGCGGAACACCGGTTGGGAAACACTGTGGTAATGCATAACTGCTGCCTCTCGCATTGTTTTTGCTGTGTTAGGAGCACCAAAGTAACCTCTCTGGGGTGCAAGCCTGGGCAGTGTGTATGGAGCAATGTGTTTGGCACCAGCTTGGCTGCAGGACGTGCCGGATGGAGGCGTACAAGGCCCCATCCAACTTGAAATGCGTTTCCCGATATGACACGGAAGCTCAGTTACTCAACAACAAGACGAAGAAACTGGAAAACACAATGGTTTGTGTAACCATAAACAGTTGGTCGGATCCATACCAACAAATCCTAGTCAACAAACCCCCCCCCCCGCCTGACTACTGAGCTATACACCATAGCTATATCAGAGTTGTATCAGACTAAGGTCAGTTTCAGCACTGGTTGTGAGAGCCTTAATCAGGTGTGCTTGTCCAGTGGCTCATGCTATTATTATGTAACCCAACATTGGAGTGAAAATATTGTGGGTGATTTGACCAGGAGTGTAATACTGGCTCTTGGCCCAATCACCCACAATAAAGGTAAAGGTAAAAGTACCCCTGCCCGTACGGGCCAGTCTTGACAGACTCTAGGGTTGTGCACCCATCTCACTCAAGAGGCCGGGGGCCAGCGCTGTCCGGAGACACTTCCGGGTCACATGGCCAGCGTGACATCGCTGCTCTGGCGAGCCAGAGCCGCACACGGAAACGCCGTTTACCTTCCCGCTAGTAAGCGGTCCCTATTTATCTACTTGCACCCGGGGGTGCTTTCGAACTGCTAGGTTGGCAGGCGCTGGGACCGAACAGCGGGAGCGCACCCCGCTGCGGGGATTCGAACCACCGACCTTTCGATGGGCAAGCCCTAGGCGCTGAGGCTTTTACCCACAGCGCCACCCGCGTCCCAATCACCCACAATACTTTCCCTCCATTATAATGATGCTTGCAGAATCTGAGA